TCCGGGTCCCTGCTGAAGATTGAAGGAGTTAAAGGGAAAGACGAAAAACGAGGCAGAACTAGGCAGAAAAAAAATATACGGGTTCTACTTTTTAAATCAATATTTACAAGCAAGAGAAATGGTTCAAATGTGTTAATCACAGTGTTAACACAGTGAATTGAGAGGCATTAATAAAACTTTAACTTTTTACATTTTGTCATCTTGATATCTGGGTTTTAGTTTTTCTTAAGAAATATCTCAAAGTGGCTTGAATTTGGATTAATATGACCTCAAATAAATCCAATGTAAATATCTGCCTCCTAAAATCATTTATGTTCCATCTGTGCATACATTATTAAAAATATAAGGGTATAAATTCAGCTGTTCTGCAATGACGTCATAGGTTTGTCAGATTATACTCAACAAACATCATGAAGTTGAAGCGACACAGAAAACAGGACAGAAATACAGTTGAAGTTTAGGTTGTAAAACAAAAAGCAAAACGTTAAACATACTGCACTGATCCGTCATCTGAAGAGCCACCTGAACTGACAGGACAGGAAAGTCACGTAAAATCCATATGAAACACATTAACAGCTGCGGTTGTAACTTGAGAAATGCAGAAACAGTTCAGAGCGCTGATCCTCAACAAAGCCGCTGTGTACAGAACCAAAAATGTTGTTTTTCTGCATGACATCGTCAGTCTCAGAGGTACACTCATGTATTCTGAAGATTGTCAGCACTTGACTTTAGAGGAGTCGGCCATCGTAGCTTTTCCTTTTCCAAGGCTTGTCCTCTCGTCCTGAGGAGAATCAGCCACACATCTAGCCTACAGGCGCCGTGAACTGGGGCACAAACAATAACAGTAATCATGGAAAATCATGTGCTGCTCCGGCGGAGAAGACCAGCTGACTGGCTGCTGATGCCCTCGGGGTTTGCAGAACAAGCATCGGCGAGAGAAACGACAAGCAGAGAAACGAAGGGAAGACAGTGGATGGATCCTCATCCATCTTCTGGACAAGCTTAGTCATCTTTATTTCTACACACAGCTCTCGTCAGACGCTCTTCCTCCTTCCTCTCACTGAACCGACATGCACTCTGTATTCACTAATCACCACCAGAGAGGTCCACAGATTATCACAATCCGTTATAATAAATGCTAATTTTGGGATGTAAGCATAAAAAGGCCTATATTTAATCCTTTCGAGGGATTTCACTGCATCTTTTTTTCTAAAAAACTATAAACTATAATGAATTAAACTATAATTTTGATGCCAAATTTAATCAGCAACCATGGCAGATATGTGCAGAAAACAGACAGGACCGGTGCGTTTTACAGCAGGTGCACAAGCTATGAATGAGAAAACTACAGATCGATCTCTGTTCTATACAGCAATTTGGTCCAGTCTTAGCTTTCACCACAGCTGTGATGTTGGCCGGTGTCTCATTACTGCATGACTGGCCAGATAACAGCACTCAGATCAACATTTGGAGGCTGTAAGGTCATGCTGAAGGTGCAGAGAATCTCCATAAACAAGAGTTTTAAATACTCTAAAATGCCGGCATTTTAGAAGATGTCTGAATCGAAAACTTTAAGGAACAGTTCCTTGGAAAAAAATTTTTAAATCATAATCCTTGAACATTTCCACATTTTGTCACCTCACAAACATAATTCTCAGTGTATTTATTGATATTTTTTGTCGATTTATTCTTTCCCTTCCACGTCAGCGACGGCTGCAATGTGACAATAATAGAAGTTTATGCATTAAACCCAACTGCAGCCATCATTGAAGTTTGTGCTTCCGTCACCTTCTTAGATATAAATATCAGTCTCTGCTTGTCCGAACACCTGCTGACCATTTATGTGGACGCACACAAAGAGAAACTCTGCAAAACATCTGTCCAATAGGTGATAAGACGTGTATTTCTGAGGACTGCAGCTTGGTGGCAGTGAGGAGGATTAGCTGCAGCAGAGGTCTTCATGAAACTGTGTTTGGCAATAGGAAACAGCCAGCATGGGAAGCTGGCTGTGGCCCGCGGGGCCTTTCTACAGTAATGCACAGATGAGTGCTCCGGAGAATGTTGTTGGTCCGCCAGCTCGCTCGTCTGTGACACGACAGGGGTCACAGTGGGATGAAGGAGGGTTGCATCGTACTCCAGGCAACGGTTTGTCTACGCGCTCTGTGTGTCTTTTCCTTCCGCTTCCTCAGAACCGAGTCCATCGAGTACAAGTGAGAGCGAAATAATTAAAAGGAACAAGAAGCGGCGTCACAATCATTTAAACAACCTTTAGCTGTCACGCAAATAGTTTTCAGTGCTCATTTTAAATTATTTTAATGCTATATTTAGCCTTTGATTATATATTAGAATTTCCTCTGATGCTATGGTGATCTGCTGGGTTTCACACGCAGGCTAGTATACGACTAGATAGCTGTTTAGCTACTGGATGTAATAAAGGCAAATAAGGTGTCAGATTTTATGGAATATTGTTGGAAAAAGAAAATCCAGAGAGAAAGACATTGTGGATTTGTGTCATTAGGTCATGCTTCCTTATCCGAGTAGGGCACAGAATGGCAGCCATACATTTTTTTATGCATACATAAGGCAATGCGACTAGATATCAATAGAAAGCGGCATTCGTCTGGCCTTATAACCGATTCCTTCTATCACAAGATTCATAACACACCAATAAACTTGTTTTATTTTAAAAACAAGCACTGTAATTCTGAGCAGAAATATGAATCAACAGCCAAGAAGAGTAATTGTGAAAACGGGAGGTTCAAATTTGTTTCAGCTGGTGCTGCAATGCAACATCTCACATAGTTTTGCAATGCGTCTGTGTTGCTGTCAGACGCATCTGCAACCGCGGCTTTCTCAACTTACCCAAAGTGTGCATTTAATTAAAGCGTTGATTATGCGTGGAGATTGATTTTTAAGTAGACATTCACAACAGCTCTTCTGCAATAATTGCAGTGACTTGTAAAGCTAATGGTGGCTTCTGCCATTCCTCAGCCTGGCAAAAACAAAAATGGAAAATATAAAAGCCTGAAGATGAGGAGGGGAATGGATGGGTTCTGCTGGATTGTTATGCATGAAATTGAGGATGGGAGGGGAGTGTCCCTGGAAGCGTCTAGTGGGGATGGCAAATGTCACTCCCATCAGACGAAAGTGTCACAGTGAGCTGGAGAGCCGTGACCTCTGATGGAAAATGAAAAAAAAGGGGGAAAAGAAAGACATAGGGCACAACAGCACATAACAGAAAAGCCAAAGATGGCAGAAACAGAGAAATGAAGGAGAGGTGGGGAGACCGACAGGAAAAAAGGACGTTTATGGTGCATCTAATCATGCTAGAGCTCTAGGCTTTAGAAACAAGGGAGTGATATCAGTAAAAGCACATTTGCAGGCTGTCTACTGCCTAAATGAGGCCGGTTCTGTCCAGAAAAAAATCTGCTTCTTCTCATCCATCACCTCCACTGCTACCAAATAAAAGAGAAGGACCTAAAAGCAATCTACTGGGCTCTAATTCAACAACAAGTCTACGGAAAATATGCAATAAACATTAATTTTAGCGATTTCCACACATAGCAGCAAACATTAGTTTAATTCACACAACACCCATGCAGTAGTGTTGGCTGCTTCCATCACATTTAAATAAATAATAATAATAATAATAAAAAAGCAGAAAACTCTGTTGAAACATGTCCCTGGCAAAAAGCCTCTGTATGATTACCAAGGCTTAAAAAAATGGCATCACAAACCATTTAACTAAGATGGAGATTATACAGGCCAATAAGTAAACAGCAGATTAATTAACAGAATGGTTTGTGCCAGGACATTTCTAGCAGGATGTCACTGACAGCTAATTTAAGCCAGACACCAAGAGAGGCGCTTGAGCAGTATGTCAGCTCTGTCATTACACTATGACGAACAATACATCACAACACTGATTTACTGCCAGGGCAGATCAGAGAAATTGTCTGATAATGGAAATGTTATTTCACTTTGACAGGACGGAGCACCTTGGCCGGGGTGTTAAGTTGTGGTAAATTCTCCGATGCTGCAGATCTAAATAAGCTATTTCAAAATAAAAACACTGTGTGTCTCTCAGAAAGATATACTTTTCATGCTAAACAGATTAGCTGTTTGAGGTCATGGATCTTTAAAACCATGTGGATTAAATGTGATGCATCACATGTGAACAGAGTCTATTCTCTGTCTACAAAAAAACTCCCGAGTGTCCAGGAGTCAGAGTGAAAAGACTTACTGGATCTCTGTAAAAGTGCTAATCTCCACTTCCCAAAGGAAATATTATGCAAGATCTTTCTCTTTCCTCACATTGTGCAAAAATGAACTAAGTGCACCAACATTTTCGTCTTATCACTGTGCTCTACGCAGATTTGATTCACAGCCTCTGAGCTACCAACAAAGACAGTGATAGCTCTGTGACTGTCTAGTTATATGAGGGTTAGCAAACTTCACAACTTCAGGGATTGACTACAGTACTAACCTAAACACAGTGGGATCTCCCAAGATAGAAACATCAAGTGTTGATGTCATTTAAGGCATAAAATGGAGAACCCGTATTTAAAAAATGACAGAATTCCCTTTATATGCAGTGATATAATCTTAATATTATTGCAACATTTAAACAGCAAATAACCCAGGCCCTGCTTAGAGTGACTCTGGCTTCTCAGAGAATATAAAATAATATACTGCTGCAGTCATAGCAGCATTCAAACATAATATTCAACAAAACATGCTCATATATTTTGGAATGTCAACTATTTCATTTCAATTAGCTTGAATTCAGTTAGCATGTAGAAGTCACAGGGAATGCTCCAGTCCAATGACGCAAAAACTCATCACTAAAAATGTTCTTAAACAAAATTTAATTAAAAAAAAAACCCTATATAAGATTAAGAAATTGGTAGTAACAACAAATAAATGACTCATTCATGCATGCACACCATTCAGTAACAAACTTCAAATCTCCAATCTTCTGCTCCGTCGCCGTGTCCTACCTGTGGCAGGGCGGAGCTGAGCTGGCGCTGCAGGGAGTCTCGGTCGTAGATCACGTCCTGCAGATGCTGCTGAGCCAGTCCCAGGCTCTCCTGGGTCTCCCTCAGCGTATCCAGGAGTCGGTCCCTTTCGTCCAGCATGTTGACCATCAGCTGCTCGAAGTGGGAGTCCGGATCCGAGGCGCTGCTCTGCGAGCCGCGCTGGCTCAGCGCCGTGTCCTCGCTGATGGTGGGCATCACTTCGCACATCATCTTGGCTCTGGTCAGGAGAATGAAGAGTTGAGTTTAACCAAAGATTAAAGCGCCTTCCATAGGACATGTAACTTTTTTTTTTTTTTTTTTTACCATTAATTATGCCAAAAATTATTCTTTTTCTTTTTATGCAAAGGATAAAAGCTCTACTACTGTTTGAGACAACCCAAACAAAGAGCTCACATGACAGAGTATGCACATACAGTTCTGAGTAAAGCAAACATATGTGTGTGAGTTTAGTGAGAATATCCACATGCTGTTGTTTAAACTGCTGTGTGTAATTGCTCGGGCCCAACACAGTTGGAGCTTGGCTCAGCATTACATCGGTACATCTCAAAGCTCACAGAGACGTCTTGGGATGCTGGGCATTCTGCCCTAGATTTCACGCTTGTGCTGTTTATTGGGGCGGCTCAGATCAAGTTACATAACACACTATATCCACGCTATAGCGGATACGGGAGTCCATATTCCAAGCTCCCTGCAGGGCCTTCCGATGCGCAGGGAGCCGTTCTCACCGGCGGGTTGGTGAGTGAGACAAAACTGTGTTTGCATCAGTGAACGTCATAATCATAAGATGAAGCAATGAGCCACAAAATGACACACATTATGAATAATTCAACAGTTTAAGAAAAAAAAAAAAAACATGGAGGGAGAACAAGTGGATGTTCTGTTTAATAAAGTGGAGCTAGCTTAGCTGGCTTACAACTGAAAAAGATTGGCTCGTTTAAAACAGAGTGAATGTATGTTCCAAATACACACTTTACTTACTTATATGAAGGAAGTCCTCATATAGATGTTTTTATGTTTTGAACTTGCTAATACAGTAAAATGAGAAAGGACTTAAGGAGGAAAATATTATAGTTTTACATCCACTTTGCCCAGCTGAGTGGTGTTACACTAACGAGCCACTCACCAGCAGGTTAAAGGCACAGTGTCAAATTTACTGTTAGCAGAGGTAGAAAAAAATGTGACTTTAACAGAGGTAGTTATTTATCAACACATAAAATATTCTGAAGTGGAATATTTATCTGAGTTCACAGATTGGAAACTGCACAACACTGGAAAACATGACAAAGCAAAAAAACATGCTGGATATCAAAATGATTATATTTTTCTCGCCCTTTATTCCTGAAATTGAGTTATGAAGACTTGGATGGGACACCTTTACTCAAAAATAGTAAATAGTAAGCCTGTACATATCCTAAAACATGTTTCCACCAGAGCAATAATGCTTTCATTTCTTCTTAAAACGTATAGTTCTCCTCTCCTGACATCTCAAATGTCTCATTTCGTCTTTGGAAGCCAGACGTTCAGCACGCAGGCGACCATGTCCTCAATGTCCAAACGAGCTGGACGAATTCAGCTCTACTTATTCCCCGTGCTTTGACCTAAGCCAGGTGTATTTAGTGAAATTTCAACATCCAATTGAAGCGCCCTCGTTCCCCCGTGGACGTGCTACAGCGTACGGCTCTGTGCCTCGGCGTTTTCTGGCATTAAGACGGGCTCTCCCAGGTCTTCTCGGGGCGACGGGCCAGGCTCCTGACGGCTCCCCATTCAGACACCATCCGCTACTGTTCAGACCAGAGAGACTGTGTCTGCATGCTGTAGCTGGACCGGCTGCTCATGTAAGCCTTTCGCTTGGGGAGGAGACTTGTTGGCAGGGAGGCTAGGACATTGGTTCTTGAATTTTAAGTAGAACAAAGTGATTTATTCGCATACATGACTCAGTGCTTGAAACTGTGTAAAACATGGAAGTGTTTGATTTTATTACTTCTTTGAAATCCGGCATGGTTTAGTACATTTCAAACGGAAGCATTTAAGGCGCCAGCATGTGTAATAACACCTGGCATATAATAATACTGGAATATTTGTGTCCGTAAATCAAAGTGTTGTGCAGATGCTTGTATGCAACTCGGCTCATAAGGTTCCTTTTTTCACCCCTTTTGTTCAGATCTCAGTCTCTCCTAACCTTTCAGTGCAGTGAATCCTCATTTGTTAGTTTATTTAGCTAAATCAAAGATTCAGGAACAACCTCCACAAAAAATTGCCATTTTGTAAGAACATTTGACTCATTTACTGAATGGTTCTGCTAAGATATTGTATATTAAGAACATGCAGGTGAATTCAATAAACCAGAATATAAAAAAAAAAATTATTTCACCAATTCAACTCAATAGAGAAGCTCATATTACATTAACTATACACAGAAATAAATACTTATTTTCTAAGAAACTAAGTTTCTAATAAAATTTCCTAAGCCCAATAAAGTCTCTTCTCCATTGATCGTTTTGTACTGTGTTTTTCCTTCCACTTAACTTTACAGTGAAATACTTTAAGACAGCCCTGGGTGAACAGTCACCTAATTTAGGGAATACCTTTTCTAGACCTTGCAGAGTTAGATTCTGGATAAATATTAAATCAGCCGTCTTCCCTGATTTTTGTTTATTTACCAGCCATAATTAACGTACCTAAAGGGGTTTTACGTTTTGAATTGAATTATTGAAATACGTTAACATTTCAATGATATTCTAATTTAGCCACACCTACAGATACATGACAAGCAAGAAACTTGTGTGATTTTGTCATGTTCAACGGATCAGAAGAGCTGAAGGTGGAAAAAGAACTGCAAATGCATAAACATGCAAAATCATTGGGATTTTCACTCCATGCCATATGCCAATCAGTGAATTATTCAAAGGCGTAGGAGAGTTCCCCTCCCCGACCAGAGCGGCAGATCCAGAGAAACTTTCTTGCCTTGCAGCCTTATAAAACTCAGAAATCTGACACCAGATAAAAGTTAACTACTAAGCACACTTTGATTCAGCTGATGTGGAACTAGTAGTTAACATTTTAAAATCGTACATTAAGCCAATGTTCCGTTTTCTATTTTTGGACTTTTTCCACTTGGTCATGTTGCAGCTACAAATTTCAATGCCATCCATGTGAGGTGGTGCCACGGTTGTCTACATTAATTGCAGGTATAAATGTGGAGAGCACAGCATGCGTATGTAATCAACCCACTTCTTTCTGATACCCCTAAATAAAATCCCGTGCAAGCACTGAAAATGTGATTCTGATCCAAATCTAATGTAACTTTAAACTGTTTTTCTTATTCACTATGATGGTGTAATATTTGATTGGAAATTGGCCACGTCTCTGATATGTGTATCTTCATTTTACACCAGGGCTGCATAAAATATTCTGAATATGTTGTCATTGAAATATCAGTATGCATAATATTATTAGCACAACAGCTGTTTGGAAACTTAATATATTTTGGCTATTACATTCCAAGTGTCATAAATACATTTTGCATGTTAAGATATTCATCTTGTTGGATGGATTCTCTCTTTCCCACACCTGGCACAGATCACAGCTCCCTGCATGCTAAAGGTCACAGAGAGAGCTGGAAGTACACGAGAACTTCAATCTATGTCATCTTTGCATTATTTCACAATTATATCTAGTCATATGTTTTTCCAATATGCTGCAGCCCTACTTCTGGCTTTTATAAGTTGTGCTTTGCTGCAGAAAAACAAAAGAGGCTTATGTGCTTCTGAGACGTTTTCATTTAGAAACTTAAAGCTGCCTGGTTAAAACATGGATTCAGGAGAGTAGGCCGAGAAACTAAGATGATGATTAACGGAAGCATGCTGAGAATGACAGCTAAATTGTTCCCTTTCCTTGCTCAGATATTGCATTACGAACAAAAGCAGCACACAATGCATGGTTTTGCAAATTCATGTCCTAAAATTCTTGTACAGCAAATGGTTTTACAGATACACTTTTGACTCCGAGGCTCTTTCTTGCGGATGTGATTGTAAAAGTGGATTTCACTTGTGAAAAGTGCTGCTTGATAACCTGAAATGTTGCCGTTTCAAACAGCTCAGAGTAGGACGGCAGTTACAAGGCAGTAACGTCTTCCAGAGATGTTCTGAAAAACCGAGCCGAGATACTTTCAAAATAAAACTAAAGCAGCCGGTGAAAAACTGAAAAACAGATGTAAATTTGGAAAATAATAGCAGGATCAAATCAGCGTGATGTGCTTAATTTCCCAAAATGACTTCAGTTCATCTCATTTATGTGGCAATTGTATGAGCAGATAAGAAGTAGTGCGAAAAAAAAACAACAAAACAGCTGTATATTCTTGAGCTTTCTATAGCCAACTGAGGCAAATTCAGCACAATTCACCACCTGGAAAACATCAAAAGATGCGCTAGCATGCGAGGATGTGCAGAACAGAACATAGGACTCTGTGGCTTTGGAGATAAGCTGCACTGCTGCATGCTTGTTGAGCTGACTTTGGAAAGACTAATATAAATCAAGTGTGCTTAAGGGGTTCTTATTACCAAGAGTGGCATAATTAATTAGATTGGTTAAGTAAGGGGATGGTCATTTAAAATTTTAGGAGAATTACAGAAAATATACCCAAATGCCAGTTATAGGACAAATTGTTATAAATTTGTAGTCTAGCTTTAGAAACATTTGCAAAAATCTTATGATTCAATTATTAATGCTAATATCCTCGCAACAGGATGAGAAATTGTTGGATATTAATGCGCTCAACTTGCATCAGCACAAGCTGATTACAAGCCCTGCGTTAAGGGGAGAGACTACGGGGAAATTCCACTTTTAAATAATGCCCAATTTTCTTGGCAAACAGTCAAGCACAAAGTGCATCCATTGATTTCATTTGTGAGCTCAAAGAGTAATGAGAAAATTGCTGCTCGTCTTTCCTTCCTAGCCTGGCATCCATGTCAGGCTGACAGGTGGGAGAAGACTCGTGCAGATTTTTTGTGAATGAAACTGGCCAGATTGGATGGTACAACTCATGGTGCTGCGAAATCTCATTCATATGGCATCCTGCGCCTCTGACAACAAGGCCGACATGCCTGCCAAGAAAAAAAAAAAAAAAAAACCCACACTATTCAGGTGTATTTTGTTTTAGAACTCCCGTTGGAGCACACTTCAGCGATTCAGCAAAGAAAAAGCTCATGTCTGCAACGC